TAGTGCAACGGAAATTTGAGTTTGGTAAGACTGATTTACGTAATTATACGTAACGTTCTGCGCCAGCCGCGACAATAGTTAATTGCGAAAATAAATTGTATATTGTAATGATACTGTTAATTTTAAATTATTTTTATTTTTATTATTAATGTTACTATTATTGTAATTATTATTATCATGGTGCCAGAATTTTTTATAGTAGATCATATATCATATGAAAAAATATTGACCATATAATTTAAAAAATTTGGATGGCGAATAAAAAAAAACAGGAATTAAATAGGATTTTTCTTAAATTTTAGACGTAAGTTTCGAAAAAAAAATTTCAATATAAATTTAAGCCCTGACCAATAAAACTGCATCTACGTGATTGAATATGACCAGCTGACTTGATCAAATAAAATGAATCCATCCATAATTATATTCTTTAGTATCTCATATTATTAAAAACGAAATTAATTAAAGTTGTAAAACAGATAGGTATTAATACAATTAATTCATGATTCGCTAGAAACGGAAAGGATTTATATAATAGGGGACAATTGCATATAAAAATAAATTTTTTAATCGTTAAAAAAAAAGTCATATTTCTTTATTTTATTGATGTTGTCATTTGAAACTAAAATATATTTAAATCAGAACTATTTATTTTATGATGCTAATGGAGAAAGGGACTTTTATAAGATGGTTCTTGTGATATTATTATTCCGGAACGAGATTATGGTTCTTATATGTAGATCTCTTTCCGAATCACGAATTAATTAATATTTATGTTAATAATATTCTTTAATATTATTTTTCACTTAACTGATCCATAATTCTTTCAATATTTTTAGGTAAACGATGATGTGATTTATATTTGTTAATTGCCCGTTCTGCAGTTCTACCTTCTAACTCTTTATTGTATGCATCCAAGTACCTCCACGACTTATGTGCAAACTTACGAATGATTGCTATAGGGACACTAATAAGAGACACCCGTATCAATAGGTCTGCATAATTATAGGTTTATAAAATTTACACTTTTTGGGTATCTTTCAAAAATATGATTTGCCTTAAATATTGTTTCTTCTAATATTGATTCTTTTTTTTGTTCACGAAAATCAGGTTGTAGTGACATAATTCATCGTGCACAACAATTATTCCTTTGTAAATCAACATCATCTTGTTTTGTTGAACATTCCTTACATACTTTGCTGAAATTCGCTTTTTTTTTAAAAAATATCCTTTTGATATAGAAATTATATCAATTTATATATAGCTGCGATATTTTAAATAATATTACAAAAATTATTAAATTTTCGTAATTTCGTTATATCAAAATAATAATATAAAATATCATATTGATATAAAAATACCATATTGATATAAAAATATCATATTGATATATTGATCATTGTGATATGATTTTTGATAAAAGAAATTTTAAATTTGCGTTGATATCACGAACAATATCCCTAAGATATGATTCAAAATTTTATTTTTTTTTAAAATATCATTAAAGTATATTAGATTTTGGGGTCTTCGTGAAACCTGGTTGAAGAAATATTATTACCTTTCAGTTATGTGGTTAGTGGTACGACTGCGTTTTTCGGTCCTTTTTTTAATATTATTTTTTTTATTTATATTTTTTAAAAAAATAATTATATTTTTGATAATAATAATTAATAGAATAATAAATAAATATATATATATATTTGTATATTTTATTATTTATATCTGTATATATCATATATGTATATTTATATTATTAATGTTTTACTGATTTACTGATACTGATCAATATTCAATCTTCTGTTTTGTAGAGATAGAGGAAGAGGAAGAGGAGAAAAAAAAAGAGGAAAAAAAATTTTTTTAACGGAAGGAACTTCTAATATATATCTTTTTTAAAGTTCGTGTTAATATATATATATTACACAATATATTATATTTTTAGTAGTTAATAATTAATGATACATTTTTTAATTTTGTCAGTAGTTACTTTTAAAAAAAAATTAACAATACACTCTTTTTTTTTTAAAGGATATTATTAATATTTTATTACAAATATTTATTTTGGGATTATTATTAATAATCTATTTATATTATTAATTATTTTTTGAAGTTTTAGTTCATGTGGAATCATTAAAGTATATTAGATTTACTTTTGATGTTATTATTAAAAAATTGGAAAAAATATAAGATTAACCAAAGATGCATTTATTGGGGAATGTCTAAAGTCATATCCATTCATGCGATTACTCGAAATTAATTAATATTAAGTGGGCGGCTAGATTAGGGTTAGTATAGGATAGTATTTAAGTATATGTTATATATAAAATTGCACAAAGATATGTTTAGACTTGGATTTTTCGTTGTTTTTTCACTTTTTTGCTTCGTAAAATTTACAATTTTGATTTGTCATAGTCAACGGAAAATCTTGTGATGGACATGGTGATTAAATTGCTTTAGTTCATTGTTTTCCGAATTTGGTCATTTTTTATAATTCAAAAAAGAATAAATGTATTTGTAACAACTTGTGATGTAACAACCTCAGTTCAGTCATCTATAATCACCGCTTTATTCAGTTCCAAAAAATTTTTTTATATGATATAATTATAAATTATAATTACCAAAATTCGGTCCCAAGGTGGACAGGTTTGACTGTTTTGGCCAAAATTACTATGATAATTTTATTTTTTATTTATAAATACATGTTAACTTGTAATTAGCCAATCAAATTTTTTAAATTTTGGTTAATATAATGACTATTACGACTAGTTCATCCTTCAAAAAATACTATGTTTTCCCGACGACCTCTTTTTTCGTTTTACTCATTTTATTCCTTTATAACTTTTGAATTTCGAAAAAAATGTAAAAATAAACTCAATCATCAAATCTTTTCTAATGAATACCATGAATGGCATGAAAAGGTTGCAAATATAGTTCCCAGTAATGTCGATACCAAAAGTATAGAATTTAAAGTAATTTCATAATAACAATAATTCTTTCTTGTAATAATACTGTAATAATGATATGTAATAATACATAATAATAGAGCGTTGAAAATCTATTATTAATTTTATTATTATTATTTTTAGGAGAATTCCTCACGAATGAATAAATTAGTAAATGAATTAGAAGAAATTGTTGGAAAAATAACTTTGGGTAAATTAATGAAATGAAATTATGTATTGAATTAGTAAATTTGATATATATATTTATATCAATTTTATTATTATTATTTTTACATTTTTTTAGGTGGTGGAAAAGAAGTTAGAAAACGTCATCTGGATCGAAAAAAACTTTTGCCTCGTGATAGGTAATTTTTTTTTAGTTTTTTTTTAAAAAAAGTACAGTAAATTAATTCCTTAAATTTTTCTTTGATTAAATTATTTAATTTTAAAGGATAAATCGATTACTGGATAATGGGTTAGATGAGTTTTTAGATCCTTTTTTTTTTAAGGAAAAAAAAAATAATTTCTCTTATTCTGAAGGAAAGGATTACATAATTCTTAAAGATCACCATTCCTAGAATTTTCTCAACTTGCTGGTTATAAATTATATTCGGATGAAATTCCCGCTGGTGGAATAGTTACTGGAATTGGTCGTGTGTCAGGGTTAGTTTTAAATGATTTCTCTCTTTTTGATGACATTATATTTGAAAATATTGTTATAATAAATTTGATAAAGTATTATTTGTTTTTAATGTAGTGTAGAATGTATGATTATAGCCAATGATTCAACTGTTAAAGGAGGAACTTATTATCCAATCACTGGTAAATATCAATTAAAATGTTATAAACATTTATATTTATATATTCATATTCATATTTATACATTTATATATTTATTAGTTAAGAAACATTTACGAGCACAAGAAATCGCTCGTGAAAATAGACTTCCATCTATATATTTAGGTGAAGAAGAAATCTTTATTACTAATGTATCATATATTAAATACAATAATTTCGTTTAACTTCGTTAATTTCGATCAACGATCAAAATTTAATCAAAGATTTTATTATTATCTCTTAGTTGATTCGGGAGGTGCTAATCTTCCAAATCAAGCAGATGTATTTCCGGATCGTGATCATTTTGGACGCATTTTTTATAACCAGGTTTTTTTTTTTTTAAAAAAAAAAAAATATATTAAATTGATTACACTAATTACTATTATCAAAGATTGAAGGATAATCAAGAAGAAGATTTCATAATTATTATTATATCTCCAAAAAAAAAATGATGATTTATTTAGTCAACGATGTCTGCCAAGGGAATTCCTCAAATAGCAGTAGTGATGGGATCATGTACAGCAGGTGGTGCTTATGTTCCTGCTATGGCAGATCAGAGCATAATTGTAGCAAAGCAAGGCACGATTTTTTTGGCTGGTCCACCATTAGTTAAAGCAGCAACTGGTGAAATTGTTACAGCAGAAGAACTTGGAGGTGCTGATTTACATAGTAAGTTATACATATATTGTGTGTTATTTATTTATTTTTAATTGTGAGATGTTTTGATGGTTTTGGTGGTTTTTTTTTAGGTCGAACATCTGGTGTTACGGATCATTATGCAATAGATGATGAGGATGCTCTTCGACTTGCAAGAAATGTCGTAGCTACATTAAATTGGTCAAAAAAACATAATGTAAGAAATCTAACTAAATTAATAATCTAACAATAATCTATTAATTGATGAGATATTTATTTATTAATTAATTCAGCTCGATTTAAGAATACCTGAAGAACCTTTGTATTCTCCTACAGAACTTGGTGGTATTGTAGGTGATAATTTGCGTAAATCATTTGATGTTAGAAACGTAATTGCACGCATTGTAGATGGTAGTCGGTTTAAAGAATTCAAAGAACTTTATGGAACCACATTAGTTACTGGTATAAATAATTTCATAAAATGTTTCAACGGATGACAAAAATTAGATAATTTGTCAAATATAACTGTATTATAATTCGAATCAATTATTTAGGATTTGCTCATATTTATGGTTACCCGGTAGGAATTGTTGCAAATAATGGAATTCTATTTTCAGAATCAGCTTTAAAGGGAACACACTTTATAGAAATTTGTGCACAAAGAGGTATACCTCTTATTTTTCTTCAAAACATTACTGGATTTATGGTAGGTTCCTCAGCGGAAGCAGGTGGGATTGCAAAGAATGGAGCAAAAATGGTTACTGCAGTATCTTGTGCAAAAGTACCTAAACTTTCAATGATTATTGGTGGTAGTTTTGGAGCTGGTAATTATGGAATGTGTGGAAGAGCGTTTGGTCCTAGATTTTTGTGGATGTGGCCAGTATGTAAAATTTATTATTATTATTATTATTATTATTATTATTATTATTATAAATCTATTTCACTAGAATTGATACATATAAATTCATTTCATTAAAATATTAAAAAATTAATAATTATTCCAATTCAAAACATATTTGATGACCGAAAGAATGCACGAATATCCGTTATGGGAGGTGAACAAGCAGCAAATGTTTTGGCACAAATCAAACGAGATGCAAAAGAAAAGAAAGGTGAAACGGTAAGGACGATTCGAAATATAAATTATTCAACTAACTAATTATTAATTCTATTATTGATCTTATTATTATTAATTTCTAGTGGTCAATACAAGATGAAGAAGAATTTAAAACTCCAATACGGGAAAGATATGAATTAGAAGGACATCCTTATTTTTCATCTGCTCGTCTATGGGATGACGGAATTATAAATCCTGCTGATTCCCGTAAAGTCCTTGGTTTGGCTTTAAGTGCTACTTTAAATGCACCTATTCAAAAAACACGTTTTGGTGTGTTTAGAATGTAAACCAGATAAAATATAAAGAATTTTAATCAGAGAATTTAATTTAATTTAAAATTGTATCTTCCCCATATATAATCTTTTTTCTTTTCCGTTCATAATTATGAAATAATTATATTTTTTTGCGTTACTCGATCAGATAGTTGTCACATGGACATGTCCCGTGTTCCTAATTTTTTAACAATGGTATTATCTAGATATATTAAACAAAACAAAATAGCTTATCGTCTGTGTAACAAAATATTTTTTTTTTTTAATATATAACAAGTAATAATTTTATTTCACACGAAGCGCCTATTAATTCTTTTAGAAATAGTCGAATGAAAAGGGGATTTTATTATGTGTGACAAAATTTTCTATTTATTCAGCTTCAACCGCTCCGACGTTATATTTTAATTTTTCTTTTTTTTTAAAAAAAAAAGAAAAATCCAAATATTGTTTAAGAATTTAAAAGCTGAAAATTACAAAATCCCCGTTTTATATCCTATTAGAATAAATAGACACCGCACTAAATAATATATACTATAACACTCGTTATATTATGTTTCTACTTAAAACATTCACTTGACTTTCTACACATATTTTTTATTTTTATATTTAAATTAAATTATGGAAAAAAATACTACAAATAATTTAAATGAAGTAGTGAATGAAATAAATGAAATTTCAATTTCTGATAATTTAGATACAAATGAATCTGAAGAGAATTATGGAATATGTGAAGAATGTGGAAATAAAAATACAAGCGAATATTGGTGCTTAAAATGTAATTCTCAACGTCTTCAACAAAATTTTGGAAATTGGACAAGTGGAAACAAAGAGGTTGATGCAATCATTCAAGAGTCCCAATCAAATTGTATTACACCTTTTTCCATCATTGAATGGGCTCCATATTCCAAATTTGAAGACATAAAATGTATTAATAAAGGAGGCTTTGGGAAAATATATTCAGCTATTTGGAAGGAGGGAAGTATCATAAAGTGGGATATTCAACAAAAAGAATGGGAAAGAGATGAGGACCAAGAAGTTGTATTAAAATCTTTAAATAATTCACAGAACATAACAACTGAATTTTTAAATGAGGTAATTTATACTTATAAGTTTATAAAAGAATATTATCTTAATATAAATTAAGATGTTTATTTACATTTTTTATATTTTATTTAGTTCAAAAATTATTTAAAATGCCAACGAACAGATTTAATGCAAATTGTACCGTGTTGGGGTATTACACAAGATCCCGAGACAAAGGATTATATGTTTGTAATGCCGTTTGTGGAGGGTGGAAATCTTAGAAAATTTTTAAAATCAAATTTTTCTGAATTATCATGGTTAGAAAAATTAACTAATTTACTTGATATTATAGGTGGATTATATCATATGCATGAGATTAATTTAATTCACCAAGATTTACATATCGGAAATATTCTCACGTGTGGTCGTGAATCTTGCTATATTACTGATCTAGGTTTATCTAAACCAGCTAATGAAACTGGAATTTCTAAAGATAGTAAACAAAAGGTTTTTGGAGTAATTCCATATATAGCTCCCGAAGTATTATCTGGCGATGATAATTACTCAAAGGCATCAGACATATATAGTCTTGCAATGATCATGTTTGAATTATTAACAGGAATTCCTCCTTTCTACAATATTCCTCATGATATAGATCTTGTATTAAAGATTTGTAAAGGATATAGACCAGAAATTCCATCTCATATTTTTATACCTCAATTACTAGTAGACATAATGAAAAGATGTTGGGATGCAAAATCAGAACAAAGACCAACAACCATAGAATTATTGATTGAAATTTCTAATTATCAGGAGAATATAGAAAATGAGGATAACGAATCAGAAATTTGTAAACAAATTGAAGAATGTACTAGATTAAACTTAACAAATCCAGTGGATAACAGTAATAATATATATGAAATACATCCATCAGCAATTTATACCAGTAGATGTTTTAATTTCAAAAATCTTCCAAAACCTAAGAATCTTAATGAAAATGATGATAAAAATACAAACGAGTTAACTACTAATTATCAAAGTAAGCTTTTTTACAATATATTTAATTTATAATTAATTCGATTTTAATTTAATCAGTTAATTGAAATTTAATTATATTTAATTATATTTTATTTTATAAGTTACTAAAGAATTTAGTATGGAAATTATGGAAATCTCATAAAGGGAATAATTGTTTGGGGGTGAGTATTATATATAATTTTATTATAATGTTAACACCCTTTCTTTAATTGTAAATCATTTTTATTTTTTATTTATGGCATTATTACAATTACTATCATTTGCTTAGCTAATCCGGATAAAGGAGCCATTTCTGATTTATTTATTTTTTTAAAAAAAAAGAATTGAATGAACAATTTAGATTTTTATATGTAAATATTATTAGTTATTTATTATTTTATATTCTTATTTCAAATTTATTTTATTATTACTTTATTTAATAAAATATTAAAAAATTTAAAATCTGATATCACAAAAATAAAAGTGAATTTATTCTCATTTTCTATTTATTCAGAGACGTTGTTTTTTTAAGCTCAATACTATGTAATTTTTAAATAGAAAATTATAAAATCAGCTATTTACACAAGTAGAAGTTTTCATTTCAAAAATCTAAGAATCTTAATGAAATGATAATAAAAATATAAATGAGTTACCTAACTAATACTAAAGTAAGCTTTTTTATGATATATTTAATTTATAATTTAATTCAAATATCAAATTTAATATTAATCAATAATTAATTAATTGATATTTAATTGTATATTAATCACATTTGATGAACCTTTAAAACATTTAACTATTTCTCCGTATCAAAAAATATAAATCAATAAATAGATTCATCATAAATTAGTGTAACTTATGAACATTTTTTTTAAAAAAAATTGATAATTTCTTATCCATGCCTTGTTAAAAATGGTTTTAAAAATAATGAAACTATAAATTATGAGACTTTACTATATTGGAATTAATAACGTAATGTTCTTCCGTGATAATCATAATTCACAATTACATATAGTCTATTTTCAGTAGTCAAATATAGTTTATTTTTCAAATATAAATATTGTCGTCAACTTCTTTCTCTATATTTATAAAATAAAAAATTTATTTAATTACGAAGTGGAATTCTATCTGTAATAAGAAATAGAATAGTGTTTTTATACCTAATAAGATCTAAAAATGATGATGATAAAAATTTGTAACTGAAATCAATTCAAATTTTTTTTTAATACCTTCTACAAGTGCTAGAGTTAAATTAAAAATATTTCATTGAATGATGAGTAAAAAAACAATAAATAGTATACAAATCAATAAATTTAATCAATTTGCAAATGGAAATAAACCACTGAAAGATTATTAATATTAAATTAATAAAGAAAATGAAACAATTCACTTTTGAACATTATAAAGACATTAATCAAATCTTCAAGTTGAGAGAAAAATTAATTATAAAAATGAAAACAAGTCACTTTTGACCATTAATCTATAATGGATTAAACTTATAAAAATATTGAACATAAAAATTTATTTCATCTGTATATTTTATACATTATATTTTTATATAGAATTTGTTATAGATATAGAAAAGGAATTAGTCATCTCTTTGTATATAAATAATTATGTTAATTATATTATTAATTATATTTGAGATATATTATACCTGTGCAATATTTTGGCTTTGAATTGAATTCAGTGAGTAAAAAATTTGTCAATATGTAGCATCTCAAGTTTTTTTTTGAATGATACTACCTATTTTAATAATCCATTATTATAACAAGAATGAATGAGAATATTTTTAAAAAAATAAATATGAATAATTATTTATCAAAAATTTAAATTTCTTCATAGGAGAATAATGTTTTTCATGATGTCCATTTTGATTATTCAAATATGAATTGTTGACTATAAAAAATAATACAACAAATTAATAGACAAATTACATAATAGAAATTGTTAGAAATTAGGAATGTTATTTTCCTAACATTTGTTCTTTTTTTTTCAATACATTGATTAGATGATGGTTAGGATTTAAATCTTGGTTTGCTTCTTGATTTAAAGAAATATTATTATTCATAAATCTTTTAAATTTTTTAATTATGATTGTTCATAATTCAACTGGTTCTGATGATTATAATTTAAATTTTGATAAGAACAACCTCGATTTAGTATCTTATTATTTATTTCATATTAGAACCTTTTGGATCTTGAAATAAATCCTTTGATCGATGTAATCCTTGATTTGGTGTTCTATATGTTATTGTAGAATTTCGGAAGGATATTTTCTTCATTTAAGACAAATTTCATTATTGAATTCAAATTTTTATATTATATTAAATATGATTAATTGATATTAATTGATATTTAATCAATAATTTGGAGTGTGGCATTCTTAAAAATTTTTCAAAATCAAATTGTTCTAAATTATCATGGTTAGATAAATTAAATAATTTATTTTATATTTCATATGGATTATGGAACATGCGTGAAGAGATTAATTTAATTCACAAAGATTTTCATATTGGAAATATTCTCTCGTATGATAACGAATTGTGCTTGATTACTGATCTAGGTTTATCTAAACCAGCTGATGAAACTGAAATTTCTAAAGATAGTAAACAAAAGGTTTTTGGAGTAATTTCATATATAGCTCCCGAAGTATTATCAGGTGATGATAATTACTCAAAGGCATCAGACATATATAGTTTTTCAATGATCATGTTTGAAATATTAACAGGAATTCCACCTTTCTACAATATTCCCCATGATAAAGATCTTGCATTCAAAATATGTAATGGATATTGACTAGAAATTCCATCTAATATTGCTATACCCCAATTACTAGTAAATATAATGAAAAGATGTTGGGATGCAAAAATCAGAACAAAGACCAACTGCCATAGAAGTGTTGTCAGATATTAATAATTGTAAGAAGAATATAGAATATGAGGTTAAAGAATCAGAAATATGTAAACAAATTGAAGAATGTAAAAAACAGATTAAACTTGACAAATCCAGTGGATAACAGTAACATCATATGAAATACATCCATCAGCAATCTACATCAGTAGATGTTTTAATTTCAAAAATCTTCCAAAACCTAAGAATCTTAATGAAAATGATGATAAAAAATACAAATGCGTTAACTACTAAAGATTGTCTAAGTAAGCTTTTTACAATATATATAATTTTAAATGAAATTTTATTTTTATTTTGTTATTAATAAATTTAATTAATTAATTGATATTTAATTGTATTTTATTTTATAAGTTACTGAAGAATGTATAGAAATTCCATGAGGTGAATATTAAATATAAATTTATTATAATGTTAATACCCTTTCTTTAATTATTTTTACTAATAAATCATTTTATTTTTATTTTTATTTTTATTTTTTTTTAAAAAAAATGAATAGAATAAATAATTTGCATTTATATATATTTACATTCTTATTTCAAATGTATTTTATTGAATTATATTTAAATAAATATTAAATATATTTAAAATCTGATTCTTTCGCGGAGATAATTATTCCTACAATAAATTGCCATACCAAACACATTACACGTTAATTTATAGTCACTCGTGTCACAAAAATAAAAAGGGGATTTATTTTCGCTATTTTAGCATTATTTTTTTTTATTTTGAAGTTAAAAAAATTTTGAAATATTGTTCAAGAATTTAAAAAGTTCGATGATACGTAATTTTTAAATAGAAAAATTACAAATCCGATCCGTTTATATCTTATTAAAATAAATAGAAATCACACTAAACAATCAATAAGACGACTACACTATAAAAATTTTTAAACACAACTTGAAACATTCAACTTGACTTTCTACACATATTCTAAATTAATTTTATTTTTATATTTAAATTAAATTATGGAGCAAAATATTACTACAAATAATTTAAATGAAGTAGTGAATCAAATGAAATTTCTGATAGTGATTATAATAATTAATTTGTGTTGGATGTCGAATGAGAATTTATTCAAGGATTTTTTTGTCATTATAAAATATTATGAATTATATGAATTATAAATCAATTATGTTATCTACATATATGGTTAAAAGTATAAAAAAATTATATTTTTTAACGAGAATGGTAATTCACGTAATTGAAAAATCATTGAAATCATGTGATTATTAAACAATGGCTATAGTAAACGTTTAAATAATTTCAATGTTATTGATTTCATTAAACATTTCTTTCTTACACTGTTAAATCTTTATATCAAAGAATATTTTTAATTATGTATTTACCATTTTTAATTATGACATAATTTCAATAAAACAAATATTTTATTAAGTAATTCGAATTCAAGTCACAAAATATGCATAATTAGGGCAGAGAACTAAGACTTATTCTCCACGCTCTAAAAATTTAGTAAGATCAACTCTAATAAATAATCGTCATTACACAATTTTCAAACTTTCATCTTTAAAAAAAACAATGATACGAACAACATCTTTACTTGGTTCTTTCCAAATTCCAAGAATTTTTCATCACAATGCCCTCTATTACAATAATTACAACAATCACAACAATTACAATAATTACAATTATAAGAATAATCAATTCTCAGGTATCGAGGAAATAAATGATAAAAACATTCATTAGTTCTATTTGTATTAAATTTTCTCTTTTTTTCCACTTAGTTTCCAAAAGGCCTATATCAATCAATACCCCAATTACGAATTTCCAACAAGGTCTTTTGGCTGTTTCATCTGCTTTTGGTGCATTTTTGAATCCTGGTAGACAAGGTTCACACTCTTCTTTCTTTCTTATATCTTCTCTCTCCAATATATCTATCAACTTGAAAGAATTCACAATTAATTATTAAAATTATTATTTATATTTTATATTTTATATTACATTATCAAAAAGATATGATTGCAACATTAGGAGAAACCACCAGTTCAATGTTTCTTAGTCGACTTCGAGATAATATGTTAAAAGATCCTGTTGGTCGTTGCATATTAAGAGAACGACCAGTTATTAATTCAAAAACTATTGATATCCCTTATTTGAGATCTTTACCTGAAGGTACATTTGGAAAAGAGTATACTGATTTTTTAGATATGGAAAAAGTTACTCCTGATTCTCGTGTTAAGGTATATAATTTAAATTTAACGACAACTTTTATTTATTATTATTATTTTTTATTTAATATATTTTCTTCGAATGGTGAAAATTAAAATTAAAAATAAAATTTAAAATAAAATTTTTTAAAAAAAAATATTTAGGTACAATACATTTATGATGAAGAATTATCATATGTAATGCAAAGATACCGAGAAAGTCACGATTTTTTTCATACTCTTACTAAATTACCAGCAAATCTTGAAGGGGAATTAGCACTTAAATGGTTTGAATTAGTTCAAACAGAATTACCAATGACATTTTTAAGTTCAATATTTGGACCAATATTATTATCATCTGAAGAAAGAACAAAATTATTTAGTAAATATGTTCCTTGGGCTATTCAATGTGGTTCACAATGTAAATTATTAATGAATGTCTATTTTGAGAAATGTTGGAATAAGAATGTGAATGAAATGAGAAAAGAATTGGGAATTTATCTAATTTAGAATTTCGAAATAATATATATATATATATATATATATTTTAAATTCCGTAAATTTTCTGATATTCTTCCATATTTTTCAAATGTTCCTCATAATCACCTTGTTCTCTCATATATTGAATAATTTGATCTAAAGTAACAATTGACAATACAGAAATTCCATAACTTTTTTCAATTTGTTGAATAGCAGAAATTTCATTATTATTATTATTATTATTATTATTATTGTTATTGTTATTGTTATTGTTATTGTTATTGTTATTATTTTCATTATTATTATTATTATTATTATTATTATTATTATTACACTTTTCTTGTCTATCTACTGCTACTATTACACCTACTGGAATTGCTTCATGTTGTTTAATAATTTTTAAACTTTCTAATATAGCAGTTCCTGCAGTAATCACATCATCTATAATTAAAATTTTTCCTTTTAATGGTGCTCCAACAATATTTCCTCCTTCCCCGTGATCTTTAATTTCTTTTCGATTAAATGAATAAGGAATATCTTTATGATATTTTTCGGATAATGCAATTACCGTTGATGAAACTAATGGAATACCTTTATAAGCGGGTCCAAAAATTACATCAAATTCTAACTTTTTGCCAATTTCATCTTCTTGTATAACTGATGCATAAAATTGACCTAAAGCTGCTAATGCACTACCTTTATTGAATTTACCAGCATTAAAGAAGTAAGGACTAACTCGACCTGATTTCAATATAAAACTTCCAAAACTGAGAATATCTTGAGAGATGGCAAATTTTATAAATTCTCTTTGATAGGGTTTAAGTGTTGTCATAATAATATGTGTTATCGAGTTAATGAATCTTGTGGTACCAATAAATAAGATTAGATATCAAAAAGAAAGTTTAGATCGTCATCGAAAAAAATTTTCAATCATGTTCCAAAATACTTCGAAATTGTTTCCAAAATCTTTAAAATCTTTACAAGGTTCTTGCAAATCAAATCATAATACCATTATTCCTCTATTCTCAAAATCTTTACCATATTTAAATAATTATAATTCAACAATAAAATTATTGTTATTACGTTTCTTAAGCACACAACCCTTTCCTCCATTATCAACGCCAACTTCCACTCAAATAACAACACCACAATTAACTCCCTCCTTACCTGAAAGACCTAAATTTTTTCTTCAAAAAGATTTTGATTTCCTCAAAGCAAAAATTAGTGAGGAAGAAGATAAAAATGAAGAAAATGAAAGACCTTTAAGAGAGAAAGTTATTCTGCTTTCTCAACGAGATAAATTGGAGGAAGCAGTTCAATTAGTTTTAGAATCTGATATAAATGATCAATCCGAAATAACTTGGAATCAATTAATTGTTGAATGTGTTGATAAAGGTAGAGTAAAATTAGGAATTAGATTGTTAAATGAGGTAATAAAGAATAATTTTAAATATTATGATTCTTTGAAAAAAATTATAATAATAATAATAATAATAACAATAAATAATAATAATAATAATACCATAATAATAATATCATAATAATTTTATTATTATTATTATAATATATTTTTTTTTATAGATGAAGAGATTTTCTTTGCAACCTAGTCAAAATACCTATACATTATTATTAAATGGTTTAGCTGAATATCGAGCATTACCTGATAATATATTTCACGCTAGAGCTATTGTTGATGGTATTAGAAGATCTAGTCGAACAAAATCAACTTATAGACTAACTGTAAATCACGCGAATTCTCTATTAAAAGTTTGTTTTCGTGCCAACGAATTTGAAGCTTTAATAAGTAATTATGATGTATTTTTTAATCCGGGAAATCAAGGAAATCTTTCTTTAACTCCCAATAAGGAAACTAATACCATAGTTTTAGCTGCTTGTGCAAAAAATTGTAAAAAACATGCGGATCAAGCTTTTCAAATTGCTACAAATATTTGGTCAAGTGTTTATGAGAGAGCAATGTATTTCGTTAGAAAACCATCTCAAAGACCTATGAAAGAAGAAGATTCAATTGATGATGATTTAGTATGTGCGGTTTTATTATGTTTTAGAAATACTGGACAAGTTGAAAAAGGATTTGAAATTATTAGAAATATTTACGGAATTGGTGATGATACTGTTAGACCACTTCCTTATAATATACAAATAACATCGAAATCACTTGATATTATGTTGGGATTATGTTTTAAATCTCAACAACCAGAATTAGGTGTTAAATTATTTAGTGAAGCTAGAATAAGATTTCCAAATATGGTACCTGACATACAAAATTTTAATAGTTTAATATCACTTTTCAATGAAACTAAACGATATGATGAAGCAATTGGAGCTTTTAAACAAGTTCTCGAATTAGGACTTGAACCAGGATCTTTAACATTTGATTTACTTATGGAATCTTGTAAAAATACTAAAAATTTAGATATTGTAAAAGATATTTTTGGAATTATAATTAAACATCGAGTAATTCCTAAAGCAACTGCGCTTACCAAGATTTTAGAGATGACTATGGAATCAGATTCAAACATTATGGTGAGAGAAGTTCGTTGGATATTAAATAAAGTTGATCAAATAGGACTTAATGATCCAATATCACTTGTGGAATCTGCTACTAGACAAGGTGTTCCCAAACTTCCATTCGAAATTGATGATGAAACATTTTTAAAAACTATTATAAATGCTTATGGTGTAGCATTAGATAAATCCGGAGGTAAATTACCCGACAATACAGAAGAACGATGGAAAAATAATTTAAAATTTTATAAAACTCGACTTTGGGATTTAAATCAAAAAAATTCACAGATTGAACAAAGTAGATTTTTAAAAGATAAAGTTAGATTAGATAGAAAATTACTTAGAAGAGAACCATTATCATCATTACCACCCAAACTAAATAATTTTAATAATGCCGAAGATAGATTATTACCAAGAAAAAAAATTGGAAAACAAACGAATTGGTTGGATGATGATGAAACTATTATTTTAGATGATAATAAGAAAAATATATATTCAAGTGAAGAATCATATGAACCTCGAAAAAAAAGAATGCCATATAATGAAGATACTGACAATCAAATTGAACGAGGAGGTCCTTATAGGGGAGGGAATAAAGAATTTTCACTATCATCGCCATTACGAACTAGAGAATCACCACCACTATCATTACGAACTAGAGAATCGCCATTACCACCATTACGAACCAGAGAATTACCATTGCCACCTTTACAAACCAGAGAACCTCCACCACGAACTAGAGAACCACCACTACCACTACGAACCAGAGAATTGCCATCATCACCATTGCGAACTAGAGAACCACCACCATTACAATATAGGGAACCATTACCACCATTAAGAAATAGAGAATCACCACCACCATTACGAAGCAGAGAACCGCTGCCACCATCACAATATAAGGAACAACCATCACAATATAGGGAACCACCATCACAATATAGGGAACCACCATCACAATATAGGGAACCACCATCACAATATAGGGAACCACCATTACCATCACGAAATAGAGAATCAGCACCAGCATCACAATATAGGGAATTATCTCCATCATTACGAAACAGGGAACCATCATCATCATCACGAAATTGGAAACCACCACCATTATCACGATATAGGGAATATTAATTTATTTATAATCATTTTTTATTTAATCCAGTAGTTATGTCTTTATTTTTAGCAATGAGTTAAAATTTGAGCCAAAATTGTAAATAGATTCAAATTACTATAAAATAGGATGAATAATTAGCATTTTCCTGTATATAATATTTCAACTGTATCAGTCAGTCAAAAGTTGCATTTTTATTTTATATTTTTATTCACTACTATCAAATTTGCTTTTTTTTTTAATTCTGATAAATATTAGCTTTTTGTTATATTATCATTTTATTTTTGATTAACACAAAAAAAAAATTATTCAATTGCTGTAATACATTTTTTCCTAGTTAAACTTTTTAAATCTAATTAAACACATTAGAAAAAAATAAAATAAAAATAATTAATTAACATTGACAATTAAGTCTAAATCTCAAATGGGAAATCAATCAACTATCATCATAGTACAGTGCGGAACCTCTATAATAGAAAATTACAAATTTATAAATTATATTTAAACTAATGATTGAATTTTTCTCAAATTATATAATTAAAATGTACTTGTATAAAGACACCTATATATGGAAAAAAATATTTTTCTCAATTTTCAAAGCTTACATAAGCATCACATGTTTTAATTTTAACTAATCAAAATTGGAAATAAAACACATGATTTTATTATATAATTTATCATATATTATTTTATAAATTATAAATTGTATCAGGTACATGATGATGTGATTTATATTTTTTGACTGCAAATTTAGCCAAATGACCAGTAACTCCTTTTCTATATATATTCAGCAAATTTTCTAATAGTAATTAAAGAAACAGAATCAAGTACCTTAGAAACTGTTTTTTGTAATTCTACTCAAGTATAATTACAATTTTCTCTTGTATATTTTTTTGCTACTCCTCAATACATTTCAATAAAATTTAATTCACAATGATATTTTGGATAAAATATACATTTGTGACCTACAGATATAATTACTATTTCAAGTTTTGATTTTTGATTTAAAAAATCTGGTTGTAGTAAAAGAATATGACAAGCACAACAATTTGTACAATTTGAATTTATAATTTTTTCCCTTCCAATACACAATTTACAAGTTGCCAATAATTTATTATTAGTTTGTCATAAATCATGTTCTAATATAATTTGTTTTATTCCTTTTGGTTAGTCAGGATATATAGGATGATCTGAAGGAAAAACATTTCCTGAATTGCATTATTAGAATCAAAAACAGTAGAATGCATTATTGATTAATTTTATCTAGTTTCATGTTCATTTTATATACATTTAAATTATCTTCAAGCATGGCATCATAATTTGTACTATTATTAAATGCAAAAACTGTTATTACATTTGGATGTACAATTTCAAAAATTGGTATTCATCTTTATTTTTATCAAGGTATAAAAACTTTCTTGTTTCAATAAGTACAGTGGGGTATCAAAAGTCACCGGACAGTTGAAATTTTTTAAAAAAATCACTAAAATTAAAATGCTAATTGTGC